GACACACTTTGGCAGGTTCTGTTGTGTACTTCACTATGCATGATCAAGGTCGAGCCATGCAGTGTGGCAAAATTCTAAAAACAACAACATGTATTTCTGATTAAAGGAAAACCCAGGTGTAGGCTTAGTAATAATTAATCGTAATTACATTTTTCAAATAACTGAAATGTTTTGTTCTGCTCTGCTGACAAATTCTGGTAAAAATCAGAAAATAAACATGCTTCCTCTTTGCATAGGCAAATTTTTGATTATTAATGATGTCCATTTATAGGCATACATCATAGTAAACATTAACAACACTAACAGAATGTATTTATTTTCATCTTCTCCTAATCAATAAAATAATTGTCTTTGATTAGAACACGGCAAGGCAAAGCATGCTTTATTTTTTTTAAATAAATGTTTACAGGATGCATTGTTTTCTTGGAAAAGCACACAAAAATATAGCTAATTGTTAACTTTAGTTAATGCTTATGGCATCTTAAAGCTGAAAATCAGACTTGACAAATAATCAGCCTTTCTCAACCAAAGTGCCGCGGCATGGCATGCCTTCTGGCTTCCTTAGGGGTGCCTGAAAACATTGCTTACTCCACCTCCCACCCTCTCCCATGCTGCCGCAGCTGTGGCTCCTGATGATAGGATGTGGGTGAAGGGAGCTTCTGATGTGAATGGGTGGGGGGCTCTAATGTGAAGGAACCCCATTTGTTTTTGCATGGGGTCCACCCTTAAAAATGTATACCTGACCCCTATCAAGGATAGGGTCTGGCATGGGTTTTGGAGGGGCCACATGTTAGTTTTTTACTTTTTTACAGTTACATTTTAGACTGGGGTGCCTCAAGATTATGTATACTTTTTAAAGGGTGTCATGGCTGAAAAAAAGGTTGAGAAACACTGGTCTAAATACAGGAGTTCTGTGTATTTTGTAGATCCTGGTGCAAACATCCTGCATTAAATAACTCCTTTACTTTGCTTCTGTGCAGGAGTTTCTTGTACTAAAGACCAGTCACTGCTACTCTCTCTCTCTTTGTGCAGGGTGACTGGTCTTGTATCCGCCCCCTGTTTTCTGCAGACAGCCCTTGTGGGAGGACCTGCTGGGTTCCACCCACAGCTCTGCTTTCTGTACAGACTATTTGCAGCATACAGATATTGCTACTTTTTTATGGCAAGATCAGTATTTGCAAAGGCATTTGGTGCACAAAAAGATCTACATCCTTTATGGATATTAAGGAATCTATTTATTTAAAAGTATTTTGTGTCTGTAGTTCAGCTTTAGATATGCATTTTTGTGTTCTATATTCTCATATACGCGTACAGTTTAGGGAGTAGAGAGTAAGGCGTATTGGATTAACCTAGGTTATTGACTGTTGTGTTGTTTACAAGTATGCCTTCAGTGAATAATAATAATCATTGGTAAGAATGCTTATATTGGTATATGATGGCCTTGTTTTCCAAAGATAGGGATACAAATATAACATTTCTTGCAAAACCTTTCCATATTCTTCTTCCTGGTTTAAATAGCTATGTTGCTGCTTTTTAAGTGCCAAGACCATGAAGTAATCTGAAATCCTATTAATCTTGCTTCAAGGAGCCTGACAAGTTTAATGGGAAAATCCGATAAGCATCAGTCTGTGAGGATGGGAGTGGACTTTAATGTAAATACTTTTTTCCTGAATAGCCATAATGAAAACATGGCTGCTGAAACCGCTCCTCCGTAAAAAAAACAAATATATCAGGCTTTGCAATTCATGTTTCATACATTCCATGTCATTGAAAACGATGTGTTTTGTTAAGGAAAGAATAGTATGCAGTTTTAGGGAAAATATGCTTGTGACTATTAGACGCTGATCAAGGGTCAGGGACCAGCACAGATTCATTAGCTGAGTAAGTGTTTCATTATATTACTCTTGATTGGCAGGGCACACGTCTTAACGATTAGGAGCAACTTCCTGTTAGCCAGTCAGGGAGAAGAGATAAGAAAGATGAATCCAGGCCATCTGAAAAAAAGAACAGTTCTATTCTATCACTCTAGTCTACATTGCTCCCTCAGATTTTTTCAGTCATTTAAATACGTAAGAACAACACCCTGTAATATTACGGTGTGGAGCCGCATTTCTCAACCTTTTTTCAGTTTTGCCATCCTTTACAATTATGCAAAATCTTGAGGCACCTCAGTTTAAAATGTAAATGTAAAGAAATGTGTGGTTTCTCCCAAAATCTGTACCAGAACCTTATCCAAGATAGGGGTCTGGTATGTATTTTAAGTGGGGACCACATGAAAGAAAAAAACCACATAATAAAATTCCCTCTTCCCATCAGGAGCCCCCTTCACATGAGAATCCACAGTGCCATTCATGGTGTGGTGCCATTCATTTCTGGCACCCCAAACACGGCTGGCAGGTCGCCCGTTTCACCGCCATGTTTCCCCGCATACAAATGCAGCAGAAAAAACTCGTACAGCGGGTCACATAAATAGTGCAGGAGCCTGTTTGCCATGCATATATGACCCCATTGAAATCAATGTTCCCGAGACATGCAGGTTTGAACCAGGCCTAAGGTGAACTGCTGCTCCTCCGTACATTTCTGTACAGTAAGTAAGCATTGTCACGAAGTGTATTACTTTAGAAAAGATGTGAGTGTGATGTGCTGGATCTTGGACTATTAAGGTGCCCATACACCTTACAATTATCTGCAGTTTTTTGTCTGCGATCGCATTTTCATCTGGAAATCTGCCAGTTGATGGGAAGTGCACAACCTCAATTACTGTACAACTGGCAGATTTTTGTCTTTCAAGCAGGCAAGAAATGTTTTGTCTAGTTGGATGAAAATCGACTGGTTAGTGGCGTTGTTGTACAACAAAAATCTCAAGATGAAAACCGCTCATGCTCAAACAAAAACCAGTTCTTACGATCGATGAAAATCAGCCAGTTAGTGGTGCTGACAAACGTTAATTGCAAACTACATTGGCCTGTGCATGATGGGCTAGTTGTAAGAAAATTGAACGAGGGTGAGATGTCTGGACAACAAAAAGTTGTACAATGGTTGTAAGGTGTATGGCAACCTTTTATAGTTCATTTACATGGCAAAAGGCTTAATTTGTGAATAACTATGTTCTGGGTTAGGTAGTTTTTGTATACCGTGGGGTCACAGGGAGTACCCCACGAAAAAATCCAAACTTTTTAAATGCAAAATTGTGTAAGTATAGGATTGAGCACTTTGTGTCTGTTGAATATGTACATGCCTGTATATTTTCAATATATATCTTAGTCAAGCAAGACAATCAAGGAATGAGGGGTTTTGTTATTCTGGAATTTTTCTAAATATATTGGGACCAGGCAAGATCTGAAATCTGTAATTTTTAAAGCAAGGTTTACATGGGTTACATACAGCTGACACCCTTCTGGCAGCAAAGTCTTTGTTATATTTAAAGAGCCATTGAAGCGCCACATCAGTTGTTGTACAGTCCAGAAAAGCATATTCATTAACCCTGACTCAAAGGGACACGAAATGTTACAGCCGCTGCATTTGTGTTACAACTATCCCTCTTAAGGTGGCCATACACTCTACAACCATCGCAAGACTTTAGTCTTGCGATGGTTGTAAAGGGATTAAAACAACGTACGATCTGCCTATCTTGGACAGGCAGATCGCACTCTCGATCAGCGCAAGCCCGCCCTCCTGAGTGTATGGGCATTGCGGTCATCGGAAGCCCGCCCCTCAGGAGGGCGGGCTTGCGATGATCGAGAGTGCGATCTGCCTGTCCAAGATAGGCAGATCGTACGTTTTTTTAATCCCTTTACAACCATCGCAAGACTAAAGTCTTGCGATGGTTGTAGAGTGTATGGCCACCTTTAATTACGGTTTTTAACTGATTGCACTCAGTTCGGGCAGAACTCTTAACTATTGATGTGCTTCAACAGTCATGAAAATTGAGCAGTTGTTTTGCATGCCTGCTCTAGCACATCCTTTTTAACTGGCTACCTATGTCCAGTACCTTTTTAATTGCACAAGAGTCCAATCTCTTAAGATGCCAGAGCAACTGAAGAGGAAGATAAAGGCAGAAATCAATTGCCATTTATGTGCACAAGTATGGCAGTCCCAGAATGTGTGTGCACCAGCCAGTGATACTAGGAGCACCGACATGTAATGTAAATCTGAAAATAAAATATTTACTGACTGTTTTGAATGTTCATAATGCACGCTTGAAGATCTGTTTGCTTAAAATAGAACTATGTGGTATGTGTTTTCCCCCATAGTTCTTTTAAGGGAACTATGCTATACTAGCATCCTCCCGTCACCCAAAGCTCAGTAATCTCAGTATATAGCAAACTACAGCTCGCGGTATACTGAGACCGCCGCAGCCGGGACGGATCCCGACAATGCTGTTGAGATCCACCCAGCTGCGCGAAGAGCTGGCTGTACCCTCCCCCATCCGTTCCTCCAGAGAGCGCTGGAGGATCGGAGAGGGGATGTGGGAATCCTTGCGGGAGTGGTGACTGACAGTCACCGCTCTCTGCAGGGAGATGATCGAGAAGTGAGCGAGTGACAGTATGCGTTCGCTCACTTCCCGATCTATTGAGCCGACGTGTGCAAGTTTCATTGTCACACGTCAGCTCAAACTATGAGGATAAGTGTTTTTCACTCACCCCATAGGTCTCCTTTAAGTGAATATTTAACTTTAAAAGTGAATGTTCGTAAATAAGGTATGCTGTGTTTACTATGAATACCCAATCATATGTAGAGGAAATGAACTTCTTTAGGACAGCATAATACATATATGGCAACATGGCAGGTGGGGTTTAATGAAAAGCCTGTGCATATATGCATTGCTGTGTGGTTCTAGGGCGACTCTGAAATTGCGGCCACTTAAAGAGCTGTTCCCTGCCAGTGGCAGGGAGTGAAAAAAATGGAATTCTGCTAGCACATAATTGGTTAACCGAAGTAAACACCGCATTTGATTTTGATATGGATTTTGCAGTAATATATTTATTTTCGTTTTGCAGATTGCTGATTTTGGACTCTCTAATCTTTATCACAAAGACAAATTTCTGCAGACATTTTGTGGAAGTCCACTTTATGCATCACCAGAGATTGTGAATGGGAGACCATATCGAGGTCCTGAGGTGAAGTAAATCTGCTTTATTCTTTTGCATTGAATTGTAATTTTATGGAGTGATATAGATGGTTGGGTATTTTGTACCATCTCTGGAACTTTTGAGGCACTGGGTTTCTTACATCAGTTTGTATGAAATGTTTTACAGTTTTCTACAGGTGGCCACTGCTGTTTTACAGAGAATAAAATCAGTTTTATTTTTACAAAATACAGAAAAATCTCTTTAAAAACTGGTACTTGTGGCATATTTAAGTATAATAAAAGATTTTCAAAAAGCTAGTAACAATAATCATACCTCGAATAACCCTCAATACCCATATTTGTTATCCTTCCATCTAAATTTTATTTAAGTTAAAGGGCTTGTTAGGTCATGTTAATTCAGTGGCCTGTGCACTCTCTGCTGTTTTTATTGCAGAAAGCAAAGTGTTCCGAAAAATGAAAACACTTGAACGCTTGACAGTAGATGTTATTTAATGCCCGTATTGTAACGTTTAACATAATGTCTGACATATAACACCTAACAGACCACATTGACCTCTCTGGTTGTTATCCAATTTTCTATAATTGGACAGACAGATCAAATAATCTGTCACCAAGACTGTGAATGCTGAGTAGTGTGTTGTCACACTGTGGATTGGATAAAACAGATTGTTGGGGTGGGGCTGATCCTTTGGTTTTGGTATGCACTGGCACAAATTAATGTTAGAAAAGGTGGAAAAGACCTTAGAAATGTAATGCATGATAATGTTGCCATTTTTGCCAATATTCTACAATAATATATCATTACTAAAACTCGAGGAGAAGAGTGACATAATACAGGAGAATGTCAAATAATAACAACATAGACATAAACATGGGGACCGGGGCACTAGGGTATGTGAGCTTCGGGGTTTGAGGAGTTGGTAGGAGTCACATATCTGGGATGTTGGTCACAGAGAGAGAGGAACTAATGGTCTGTGCGTTCTCAGGACGCACTAGAGGCACAGAATCTAAGAAGGGCCAGGTATTTGACAGAGCCTCTAGTGGTGAGGATGATTGGCTGCTGGACACCTTCCAGGTTGCTGCCCCCTAGCGCACCCACACAGACGCAAAGGACTAGTTGAAGCATCGGCGAACTGGATACAAACAACAGGTAGGGAAGAAACTTGTAACCAAGAGGAGGAAGATAGGAACAGTGGCACACAATGAGAGAAAGAGAAAGTCACAAGCAAAAGGGGTAAAACGCACAGCAGAACAGCAGACTATACTGAAGAGGGTAGCTAAACAAGGACACTCGGGAAGGGTAAGTAGCTTAGAGGCACACCTAGGAGCATGAAGGTGTAACGTACAAAAGTAAGCAGGAGATGTGTGTTGCACATGCATACAAAGAAGCAGGATAACAGAGGGAAAAGTACATAAAGAAGCACAAAGAGATGTATGCACACAGGGGGTGTGCAGACAAGGACGAATCCAACACAGCCATAAGGTAAGAGAGGAGCACAGAAGTAAAGGTGATGTAAATTGAAGTACAAGAAAGCAAGTAAATAGGAGGAAGCAAAAAGACAAAGGCTGGAGAGGGAAAACACAGAAGAAGTGAGGCAATGAAGTCAGTATAGAGAGACTCACAGCACACAGGTGAAAGCAATTATGGTCTGCAGCAATATACTAAAGGTAACCACTGAAATACTATAGAAGGGGCGCAAAGAGCAAAGCAGGGGATAACGCCAAACAGGGATACCAGCTGGTACAGGGAAGCCAAAGGCACAAGGATCCAATAGTAAGCAAAACAAAAGTAGTTTCAGCATACATTTTCCCATGTTCTGTCTCTTAAAGAAACTCTGCAAGTTCGGAAAAATACTTGTTGATCTTGCCAGAAGTCCAGTAATCTCCTAACTATAGTGAGCTGATAACATACTGCCTCTTCTACACTGAAATACCGAACAGTGCTATCAGCCCTGCTTTAGTTCTTCCCCCCTGATGGACTACAGAACACCTCATCCTAATGTCCTAATGTTAAAGAATAACAACACTGCTTGGGATTTTTGTGCAGTAGAGGCACTGTAATCTTATCTCAGATTCCTGGAAATCAACAAGTATCTCTCTGTACTTGCAGTGGTTTAAAGAAATAAAACATAGGAATATGTGCATGTTCTGCAGAGATACACTTTAATGTATATACTGTATGTATGGAAACAACTTGGCAGTGTTATACATTAGTTCTGCTCTACTGCTGCTTTTCACAATGTAAATTTATGAATTGATTAGCTTATTGAAAACAATGCACTCTCTATCTGACCTAAAACATTTTGTTAAGAAGAGAGGCAGAGTGATCAGAAATTGAGTGTTTTCCCATTCTGTTATTCTACAAACCTACATTTCTTAAAATAACAAAAATATAAAGACGCAAGCATGAAAAGCAAATTTCAAAATTGACATATGGTAAACACAGCTATAATATCTTAAAATAGAAGCCGAACAAAAATACTTCATACCCTCTCTTTAACTGCATTGCTCCCTATACAAAAGGAATACAGTATGGGGAAAACAGATCTGGAGAACGATTTAGAATTATTGTTAACAGTATCAAATCTCAAAGCCAGCTGCAAAAGCAAAGGAAACTTTTATATGTGGAGAAGTGATTTAACCCCTTCGTGACTGACGACGTACAGTGTACGTCGCCAACGACAGGGCTGTTTAAACAAAGCCGCCGTGCTTCCCGGACTCCGTTGCCCCTCCTACGGGCCCGGGACTGGCTTCTGTGGTGTCCACGTGGAGCTGGGGAGGAGATGGACATACCTTTGTTCGTCGATCCCCTCCCCGTTCCATGGGACCGGGAGCGATACAGATGACATCACTTCCGGTCCAAGAGCTGTCAGTGCTGGGCTCCGGAAGCCCAGCTATAAGCTATTGAAGTGTGATCTGCACTTCAATAGCTAATTTCTAGTGTAAAGGTGACATTTGGGGTATTTTGGACCCCCAGCATCACCTTAAAGAGTACCTGTCACTACCATCTGCTATCACATGGGGGTGGGGGGGGGCTTGGAAGCCCCCCTATGTGATAGCAATCAAAGTAAAGTTACAATTAAAAATAAAAGTTTTTAAAATTAAATAAAATAAATCTAAAAATAATTGTAAAACATTTTTAAAGTGCCCCACGAGCACGTGCGTCGCCAAGTAAACACGCATCGGGTGGGCCTACGTATGAAAAGGACGAACGCGATACACATGTTGGGTATCACCGTGCACGCCGCAGTGAGAGCAATCATTCTAGGGTCAGTATTGTTGGGTATCTCTAAATTGATGACCTGTGGGGACTTTTAAAGCGTCGTCTATGGACTTTTTGGGGTACTGAAGTTTGTCGCCATTTCACGGACGCACACAATTTTTTACCTGGGCATGTTGGGTATCTATTTACTCGGTGTAACCTCATCTTTTATATGTTATTCAAAAAATTGGTATTTTATTGTGTTTTGGGGCATATAAGTACATTTTACATTTAAGTTTTGGGGTTTGATAAGGAGTTGCGCGAATATCGTGCAACATAAAAATTTGTAGCTGCCAACATTTTTTTCTATAGGGTCACTTTAAGATGACTTAAATTGGGCTTTTTTAACATGGAATCTTACTACAATTTAGGATTATATACATCTGGCTTCTTTAATTTGAAAGTTGCTTGATTTAAATTATTAATTTGTTTGGATAATCAGATCTAATATAAATGTTTGAAAGATTAATTATGCCCAGGATCCTACATATGCCTGTGGAGAAAACCTGTTTTTACCAGCTTTGCTAGAAGTATTTTTTAATAGTATGTGTGATCTTGCTCTAATGTTTTTTTTAACAGGAAAGTCTTTTTCCTAACAAATCTTTAAAGGAGAACTATGGGGTTAAGTCTTTTCCCCATAGTTTTACTTAGGGTAACGATCACTCACCTCATAGTTCTCCTTTAATGCAGGTTGAAGTGCAGTCACATTCTGATTGTAGATTCATGCACTTTAACCCCCAACTGTTGAAAGAGTTACTGAGTGCCCTGCAATTTTGGGGTTTCTGGATACTTTTTTTTCTAGCATCAACTCTTGGGTTGAATTTGCTGAACTGGCCAGTCCTGGACAAATTAGCAGTTGTTTGAAATCTACACAACTTGATTATTTTATTTACAGTGAAATGATCTTTTTAAATCTTTTGCCAGACTCGTAGGCATCCAAAATTTTCTTTGAGAGCCCTAGAAAGCTCTATTGATCTGGAAATGATGACATCACACACAACAGTAGCAAATAATTCACTAGACCATAGATGCCTGACATCTGCATACTCCCCAAATATTATCAATGATAGTTTATAATTGGCACTTATGAGTAACACTGGATTCTAATTTCATGGATTCGAATCGGTTGTAAATGAAGGGTTGTACACCTTCCATATGAGAAATTGTGTTTTTTAAATTAATTTAGATCATGAAAATGAATAAAACATGTGAAATACACTGTATGTGTATCATGTGTTCAAGTTTATAACGTTTACCTATTCGAATCAAGATCTAATGTTTTTGCCTTTTCAAATATGTTGAAAAAGTCAACAATTTTTTCATGGGGCGTGTTTTTTTTTTGTAAGTTCACTGTAAGAGACAGATGTGACTTGTTGGAATAAAATCTATCCAATGTAAGGTCTATTGCGTTACGGTAACGCTGCTATCAGGAACTCATTGTTATAACTGTCCAGCCTGTCTGAGGCTTGTTCAATGTTTGTCATCTCAAGTGCTCTTTCCTCTTGTTTGAATACAGTACTCCACCAGAGAGGAATGTAGAAAAATTAGGCAGCCTGCTAAGTTTCCAACTTTAGCTCTGTGCATGTTTCTTGCAGACATAATTATTCTCAACACACAGACCTTTCCTTATCCTTCAAACTTGAGAAAGGGGGCGTTGAAGATGATAAACACTGCACTTGCCAGGGCCGGGGCAATTAATGGAAGTCTTGACTGGCAATAGAGAAACTTGATGCAGCAAACATTATTTATGCAGAAGCTAAAGGGGTTAGATACCACAGTAAAGGCAAAGTCAGTAATGGAATAAAAAAAAAATGACTGGGTGATTGTATAACTGTTGACATGCATGGTATTAATTACTAAAGTATAGATGGATATTTTAATCCAGGAAATTAAGGCAACTCTTTTTATACAGTAGGGAATTATTCTTTTTTTCTTTTTTAGGCAAAATTGGCTACAGATGCTCAGGAAGTTTTGTTTTGCAGGTGTTTGTGAGAGGTTAAACTTGTGCCTTTTTCCAGCCTAGTTACTATGTAACTAAAAACCAAATGTCTATAACTTCCATGGCTCAAGGCTACTTAAAGTATAAGTGTAAGCAAACAGCTGAAATGCACATTTGTGAATTGTCTTACCTGTCAAAACATTTGCACTTCTTTTAAAGTGAATTTCCACTTTTGTATTCAAATTTGAGAACTCCCCCCCCAATATATGTGTGTTCACATTCGCACAGCACCCCTAAACATATATTTATTTATTACACGTATTTATATAGCGCCGACAGTTTACGCAGGGATTTACATAGTTGCACATTCACATCAGTCCCTGCCCTCATGGAGCTTACAATCTAAGGTCCTTATCTCACATGCATTCATTCAGGGCCAATTTAGACAGGAGCCAATTTACCTTCCAGCATGTCTTTTAGAGTGTTGGAGGAAAAAACGGAGTACCCGCAGGAAACACACACAAGCACAGGGAGAACATGTAAACTCCTTGCAGATTGTGACCTGGCCGAGACTCGAATCAGGGACCCAGAGTGCTGCAAGGCAGAAGTGCTGAACACTACACCACTATGCTGCTTTTTTTAAACATGTAACATGTAATTTTTTAGTGTTTTTTTGGAGCAGGATTATACACAGGACTCCAGGCAGCTTCTAGTGGTTAGAATAGATGCCATTGATCAGATAAGGGGACAGACTGAGGGACAGATCTTTAACCCTTTGTTAGGACGGGCATTCCTGCTTATTTAGTTTATAAGGCTAAAGAAACCTTTCAGCATACTACAGACAGATTTAATTATTTGAAATCCACCTTCCCCACTCCCCTCAGACAGTGAGAACTCAGCAGGCTTTCTCAGTCCTGGAGTCTCCAGAGTAGAACAACCAAAAAAAGATGAGCTGCAATGTTTGCATATTTTTTTTAAGTTGTGCTATGCGATTGGGAACATGTAACAAATATAATGTAGGTGTTATTCCAATTCAGGTGCACAAGTGGAAATACACTTTAAGCCAATTGTCTTGCCTGGGCACTCTTTCCAGATACTATATAGTGAAGTTGATTTACTGAAGGGCTGTAGAGCATGTCCACTTTGCAAAGTACAGTTTCACTTGGCTTAGTGAATGAGGTGAAGTTTAGTTAAAATTGACTTTGCAATGAATACCCAATCATGTTCAAGAATTTTTTGCTGCATATCTGAGGTTCAACTTTAAAATATATGTTCTGAGCTAAATTGTATTTTTCATGCCGGTGGCAATACATTGTTTTGTATTTCTGAAATGTGTTTTTTTCTGTGTTACAGGTTGACAGTTGGGCACTTGGTGTACTTTTGTATACTTTGGTTTATGGAACGATGCCATTTGATGGCTTTGATCACAAAAATCTAATTAGGCAAATTAGCAGTGGAGAATACAAAGAGCCAACTCAACCATCAGGTAATAATAATGCAAGAACTATATACTTGTATACTAACCCATAATGGGACACTGAGAAATATTGTCAAATGTGTCCTGTAGTAGTATAAATCTTCATTAACAGCCTTGTTGGTGTGGTGTTCTTTGTATACATTTATTAGGTTGAAGTCTTGCCACTGACTATCACACGTCCAGCACCATCTGCAAGAGGCTCAATTCACACAGCTAACAGACCAGGAGATTTCTCTTTTATTTAAAAAAAAATACATGTATTTTCAGTCGAGTCAAGTGAAATTTAAAAATTAGTGACATGGCTGAAAATAGAATGCCTTCTGACTTTACTCATTGCAGGGACTATCAGCGAACATTGTCCTTACAGTGAATGAAGCCGGAATGGACAGCATGTTATGTAAAAGTGATCGGGTGGCTTTGAAGCTACTCAAACCACTTGCACTAACTATAGCAGCCGGGAGTTTGTATACAAACTAGCACTGGCAGATATGTGTTTAGAGGTCTTTTTTAAACACATATAAATGCATATAGTGATCTTGAAAGAATTTAAACTGGGCATTTTCCTGTGTTTACGTGCATTCAGTTTAGCTTCATTTAGAAAAAAATTAATTCTGTGTGTTTAGGATCTGATTGCAAAATCTAAACATATAAATGCAGCTAAATCTGCAGGTACACCTAAATGCAGCAAAAGGTGATCTAGGTAGCATAAAGTTTGTACTCCTCAGATAATTTAGTCTGCTAGTGTGAATGTAGCCTGACTTACATTTAAGATTGCAATGTTAAGTGGTATCTTGTTGTTAGGGCAAGCACCTACAGATGTCTGCACATATCCTCAGAAACCTGAGGAATAAATCGTGCTATACCAGCACATACCTACAGATTTACTCCCTGCTGCCCTAAGGCTTCCTGAATGCAGCCCCCCATCCCCCATAGAGAATGGCAACCAAATGGTGGATTTGTTTTTTTTTCATCAATTTTTTTTAATTTTTATTTATCGTATTATCTTTCTCATTTTTTTTATTTTTGACTTTATCTTTTTTTATGTTCATTATTATTTCTTATCTTTTACTTTTTACATTTTTGTTTTATTATTTTTTTTCTTTAAATAAATTTTTACTTTAATCTTCTTTTTTCACTTAACTTTATTGCTATCACACAGAAGCTAACAAGCCCCTGTGTGATAGCATTTATAGGTGGCAGATTCTCTTTATTGAACCTGTCTCCTCCAATACAGGAGTTTGAGCACAGAGCTGTGCTAGCTCTCCTGTGACATCTGAAATAGGAAAGCTGCGAGTCCAGCGTTCCTGTCTCAGTGTTCACACGGAGCAGAGCGGAGAACGTTCTCCGCTCTGCTCCCCACTCTCTATCCTGTGCCATGGTCCCGGGTCCCCCAGAAGATCAGGGGACCCTGAAAACTATTGCGGGGAAAGAGGCAGCCAGAGGGGGGGGGGGATGGACGAGCAGGCTAATTACAAGTGATCTTTGCGGCATTGCCAAGATCACCCCCCCTCGTACATTTAGCTCTGCTTGCCCGAAGCAGGGCTAAAGGTAGAAAACAAACTACCCGCCCGGTGCCCGAAACTGCATGTCCCGGGGAATTCCATAGGAATTCCACACCCCTGCCGCCCCAAGGCCGGGCCTCCGTAACCTTGTGGGACATCCATCCCTGCCTACATATCTCTATTGGTCAATTAAGTCACAGATTACATTCACACACCAGGAGGGGCCCTTAGCATTCTGATGCCAATTAATAAAGTTACATTTGAATAATAATTTGCTTTAAGGGGCAGAAGTTGTATTCATTTCTCAGCTTAGTAAAGATTATAGGCTTGTTGTCATTCTGGGAAGATACGCTATTAGCATAGCGATGAAGCCGGCTGCGCATTTTGCATCACTCCCGCTATGCTAATAGTGTATCTTGCACACTGCGCGCGCCGGTTTAAGTAGTAACCAGCACACTCTGTATGCAACTTCTAACAGCGTGGGAGACGAGAGGCTACACTTGTTGGATCCAGGAATCAGGTGAGTAGTATTAAAAAAAAAAAAAGTATCGGTATCGGTGCATCCCTAGTATACAGTGTATATCTAAACAACACAGCCCAGATCTTATTAGTCAGCTTTAACCGCCTGCTCAAGGACACAAGAGTCACTAGAAATTTCAGGGAGTGCGAGTGAGCTGGGCAATTTGTGTCTGTCATGCCATGGGTTTGTCAATATTCCCTGAATTTATGTGGCATCCACTGCTGGGCAGCAGTGTCTCTGTATGTTAGTATTGGCTATGCATATGCTCCATCTACTGTTCAGCAGCACATTGTCCCAATCACTGCTATCTGTCACTATTCTTTATACATATGATGTATGCACCGCTGAGCAGCACATTGTCAGTTACTGCAGTCTGTCATTACTTCCTTTCCATATCTACCAGCTGCTGTTCAGTGGCTCCCTGTCTCTGCTGCCAACACATTTAATATCTACTGCTCAGGAGCACATTGTCACCTTCACTGGTCTGTCACCACTGTTTATGCATGTTCACTCTCAACTACTAAGCAGCACAATATTCCTATCACTGTTGTTACTATTTCCTATACATATTTACTATCCGCTGCTCAGCAGTCCCTGTCACTTTTGTCCCTCAACACTACCCATACATTTGTTGTATATGTAGCCCAGCAGCACAATTCCCCAGTCGCTGCTGCCAACACTCCGTATAGATATATAACAACCACTGATCAGAAACACATTGATTGTCCTGGTCACTACTATCTATCACTACTTCTGTCCATATGTACCATTGTCACTGCTGCCAGCACTGCCTATGCAAAGATATCCTTCCATTCATGTTGTAAAATAGTTATGATGTGGTTTAAAAAGACAAGAAAAACAAACACTCAAATGAACCTTCAACAAAAAGCCATATATGCACTTTCATCCTTTTTGGTGAAAGCACAGCAGACCACTACATGCATACTTCCACAGTAAATCCTTCAGTAAAATTACCGGCTATCTCTGACCAATGAATTGCATAAATCTATCTATTGATAGATCTCCAGCTGCATTGTCAGACATTAAATTGTATTCCTGCCTGCTGGCAACTCCTCCAAAATGACAATCATTCCTGTATGGATCCCATCTGCCTTCTAAACTCTTCATTTGGTGTAAAAATGTGGGGTACCATTAAATTATTTGTCCGAAGATGACCTGTGTACACTGCATATTATACATTATCTCTGTATATTCTGTGCCTAATGTACATCAATGATGCATTTGTTTTCTTGCCTTCTGCATCACCAGACCTGAGATTCCATTAAGATTCCCAAACCCTGCCGTCTCACTTTTGCCATTAGGCCAATAAAAAAATTAAAAGACCATATATGCTTAAAATTATAAGTGATTTATATCTTTCTAAAATGTTGTGTTTCCAGATGCCCGTGGACTAATCAGATGGATGTTGATGGTTAATCCTGAGCGTCGAGCAACTATTGAAGATATTGCAAACCATTGGTGGGTTAATTGGAGCTACAAAAGTAGTGTATGTGACTGTGATGTTTTGAAGGACTCAGAATCTCCATTGCTTGCCCGGTTCATCAACTGGCATAATCGTTCTACCAGCCGTCAGCTTGAGGCTGAAAGCAAAAGCAAGTGCCTTTCAAAGCCATCTGAAGTATCACTTGAACGACAAAGATCTCTGAAGAAATCCAAGAAGGGAAATGATATTACACAGTCCTTGGAGGATGGTTCTGAAGAGACCACCATATCAAAGAGACCCAAGAGCATCCTGAAGAAAAGGAGCAATAGTGAGCATCGGTGTCACAGTGCCGGTTTTATTGAGGGAGTTATTAGTCCTGTATTATCTCCTACTCACAAAACTGAAAGTGATAAAGGGATAAATGATGGTTGTTCTAACAATGCCAGGGAAATAGGAAAACCACTTATATGTGGTTCAAAACAGTCTACACCTTTGCCAAAGAAAGGCATTTTAAAAAAGACTCAGCAAAGGGAGTCTGGCTATTATTCTTCACCGGAGAGGAGCGAGTCTTCAGAACTATTGGATAATGATGGAACAGAAAGTGGGGATGCATCTGAAGTCATCAATGAGACTAAACGAACTGTCTCTCACAGCCTTTCCTGTAGACGGAAAGGCATTTTGAAGCACAATAGTAAATATTCAAATAGCAGTACAGATTCCCCAATGGCTAGCACCACCACAGAATCACTGGTATCAATGGAACAAGGACTTCTGCCTGGGGAAGGATTGTCTCGAAGCTACAGTCGCCCATCTAGTGTTATTAGTGATGACAACATCCTCTCAAATGACTCATTTGATTTGCTTGAATTGACAGGTGGTAGGCCAAACCGACAGAGAATACGTAGTTGTGTTTCAGCTGAAAATGTCCTTTGTGTTAAGGATTTTGAGAGGCTTCAAAAAAGTCCTCGTCCTCAGAACCTGAAACGTTTCCGTAATCGCTTTGCTGACAGCAGTTTTTCTCTGTTAACAGATATGGATGACGTTACTCAGGTTTACAAAAAAGCTCTGGAAATCTGTAACAAGCTCAATTAAAAAAAGCAAAGTTATATAGATCATTACTTTGCTGACAGTGTAAAGTCTAGAATACAATGCACCACAGGTAAATCATGGCAACTGCACTACTCTTGTTTCTTCACAATCAAACTACTTGGAAAACTGAATTTTGAATACTTTTTCTAAGAGTCATTTTATACTGTGGGGGCATAAAGTTTGGCTAGCAAAAAAAATAAACCCAAATATAATGATTTGCTTTCTATTTTAATAGGTACACTTTGTTGGGGTGGGATTTATAAAACAAAAGGGTAATTTTTTTTAGTATTTTACTTGAAATATCTTTTTTTTTTTTTTTTTTTTTTTTAAGCTTTGGTTACATAGTTTAATTGTTGAAACTCTGCTAGAAATTTTGTTAACTGGATGGAGCTTATCAGGTAGAAAAGTACTTGCACATATTTTTATTATTAACTAATTTAAAAAGTATAGTAATTATTATCTTTGTTTTCCTATGAGAACAAACTACCTTGAACGGTAGGCCGTTTATATTTTATATATTTAATATTAAGATACCCATATTGTGTTGCCATGATCACTATTCAGTTTTTGTTGTGGATGGAGTAGAGAAGGGTCAGATGTGTTAGGTTTTTCTCAATTTCTAAGATTTGCTCACTTTCTGTTCTGCTGGTGAAATTGTAGTGAGTCATCAAGCTCAGTGATTCATTTATAATTTTGGTTAAGAATGTCATATACAGCTAACATGTTGCAGGGGAAAGATCTCCACCTTCAGAGCTTAAGAATTTAGTTTGTAACTATATCCAGACAGAATTTACTAAAAAGGCTGCCGTTGGGCTGAACTCTTAGCGCATTGACCACACTTATGTTCTGCTGATGGTAACTGAGGTGAAATGTCACTGCAATAAAAAGCCTTTTTTTTCTGCAGAAGTAAAGGCAAGTAAAGGGCTAGGGCCCCTTGTCCTGGGACAGGAAGTGAGCAAAAATCTCCCCAAGAAAGACAAGACAGCAGTAAAAACCTGACAGAGGTTCTAACAACTCCCACGCTATCCAAAATTGAATAAAATACTTCTGGCTAGACTTTTACTTATATATATATTCTTGTTTTATGTTAAACCTTCAGTACGTTCTTTTAAGCAGCCCATGTGTTAGAGAAATAAACTTTATGTACAGGTCCATAAATCTGTCAACTGCAGATTCCTGTTTTTCCAGCAGGAATGTGATTCACAAGACACAATCTCTTTGCCAGAAAGATTTTGATGAGTGTTAATCTATCGCTGGTGTTGTGAAAATCTTCACCAAAAGGCTGCATTGTTTACTGACATATTGCAGATGTATTATATTTGACTTTGTATAGTTATCATGTTCTTTGTGAAGTACAAGTGGAAAATTTGATGACAAGGTGCCTAGATCGTCTTTGTTTGGTGTGTTTTCTGTACATGTTTTCCTAAGGTTTTAAGAAACATTTACAGATATATGCCAAATATAATTGTCTAAGTTCAGGCCATCATTAAGCAGGCATTATTTTTGGTGGACTGGTAGCTTAAAAGACCTTTCCAAATGGATTTTACAAGAAGAACCCCATGCATTGATTTTTGTTGGCGAATAATCAGCAGAGCATACTGTTCAGGTTTCTTTACTTTCACTGTCAGCAAATAGAATATGCGAAGTATTTCTAAGTGTAGTGTAGGAAAGTTTGTTAGTACAATGTTGATAGAAGTGGCTCACGGAAAGTAGAAAAGTTACAGGTTTGGGATGTTGTAACGTGTCTTTAAAATGGCAAGTTGAAAGTGTAGGAATGTAGTAAATAGGTTTCAGGATGTACCATGTATTGGTGTCTACGGCTGGATTGCAATATTTGTTGTCCCCACTGAGGGGGAGTTGGAAGTCTTTCATAACACAGAAATGTGAGGCAGGGGCAACAAATGCACCGTCATCTCAAACATTTGGGATGTCAATAGATGGTGGCTATGATGAGTTCCTCAGAGCACCTAGGCTCTGATCTGTGAAGGTAGTATGTGGCAAAAAAATGTTAATGGAATCCTGGAAGATATGAGAAAATTAAAGCTGGTTAATTAAGAATGTTAAGCAAAAGTGTTTTAATGGTCGTCTAGATTCCCTGCATATTTTAGATACTAGGCAGTTCTGGGCAAACAAAATATTGTCATTCTAGTTTGCCCATATCAATGAAGAATGGTTGTGTGAACAGAGAGTATTCAGGATAGTGTTTAGACGGGTTTGATGTACTACCTAAATTAATCTACATCCCCTGGGCTAAATAAGTCATACATTATCTGCATCTTTCTTTTCACTCTTTAAAGAAAATTGGAATATGTAAAAAGATGATAATCCAAATGGTCATTTCCCCAGTATACAGAAATAGCAACGTTTATTGAAATTTTTCAGTCTAATGCTATGCTATATTATATTATGTTAGGTAAAACATAGAAAATATGGTTAAATTGTAATTTTAGTGTCTGAAATTACTGTAAAACTGCCATTATTTGCTTTCATAAAAGGAACATATGTAGTGGCTTCTTTATTGAGTACACCTATCAGTGCCAGACAGGCTTTTTTTTGCCTTTTAAAACAGCCTCAATTCTTTGTTGCATTAATTCAGCTAGGCACTGGAAGTGTTTTTTTTTATTTTTATGGAGTTTGGGGCATGCTGACACAAGCACTAATCATAGCAGCAGGTCAGGCAATGATTTTCAGTGTTAAATCATTCAGTTTTGGGGATCCAGTTGACTTCATAGCTTTTTTTTCGTTTCTTTTTAGATGCTCTTCTACCCACCACTATTATAAATAGTTAATCGAGCAGTTGTCAAGTATTTGTCTGCTTGAACAAGTCTGGCCCTTCTCCTCTGACCTCTCTTACAGGGTGTTTTTCACCAACATAACTTCTGCCCACTGCATATTTATTTTGCACCATAATTTGTAAACTATAGTGTGGAAAATCAAAGGAGGTAATTGATGTCCATGATGCTGCAACTTCTGTGCCAGGCACCAACAATTATTCCACAGTCAAAGCCTAATACATCACATATCTTCCCCAATCGAATGTTAGGTGAAACAACAACTAAACTTCTTTACTATGCCTGTATGCCTTTTATATTGACCCACATGATTTGCTATCTATTTGTGTTAATGAGCAGGGGTACCTAATAAAAATGGCCATTGAGTGTATGATTGCTGTATCCATCATACATATGCTATAGCCCTAAGATGTTTACACCTTTTACAATAAAATTAGTATCATTACTTCATCCTCCCTGATTGTTTGCTCCACCATTTGTGTTATTGAGAACTAGGACTGAAGAAGCTAGGTTGGGCAATACTGGGTACACTAAATGGTTCCAGTTCTTGACAGTCATATCAAGTATCACAAAGATATTTTTATATGACATATCCCTGCATAAGCTAAAACTTTAAGGATCATATGGTGTATTTAAAAACTATTCTCTTAGAGATTACTGTTATATGATATTACATATCCCTAAAACTTTCCTAGAACAAGGAAAAGTGTTCTTAATCAATGTTATTTTCCAGCCAGAGCATAGACTCCCTTTCTTTATTAGTGTTGTAGACACTGCTATGTGCTCTCTGCATACAGATCTCATAGGTTGCTATTGCAGAAACCCCTGGAGACCAGCAGTTGTTCAGATTAGTTGCTAAAGTCTGTGGCAGCTGGTGCTGCATGATGTCAGGCAACATTTGTAGTAGAAGGCTGCACATTAAATATGGCAAAAGGACCCTATACTGCTCAGAGGCAAACATAGCATAAATGATGAGGCCAACACAGTTCAGCTAGAAAGCTTGCACTGGTTCAAACCAAGTAAAACCTTTCTGCTGCATTACTAGATCTGTTGAGCATTCTCTTGCATTCAGGCTACTATTCAGTGACTGAAATAATTGGACTGTGACATATATAAAATGATGTAAATAAAAGATCCAGTAAGAATTTAAATGGCTCACTGTAATGTCTGCTTTATTCAGTATTTACTTAAAATATTCTTTTAAGATAGATTATTCATTGTATCGTGTTGCTGTTAAACCATTTGCACATAATTTTTTAGATTTGCGGTTTATTGTGGTAAAACATTCTTTTTATACTTGTGGTGGTGCCCTTATGCTCAGATTTATCTGATTGTTCTGTGTATGGCTTGTTTAGCAAGCTAGTTCTTTTATTTCTTGAGAGTGGGCAACTTGGTGACCTGTAGCTTTTTTTATTCACATATAACTGAATGTGTAACATTTAATATGTACTCTTTTTTTTAGATCTATATGCTATCGCCAGTCTCTAAGGTCTTACATGTATAGTACATGCCTATAAAATATAGAGTTAACAGGAAATATATATATATTTCGTGCGTGTGTGCAGCTAAAAGGGGACAATTACTAGAAGCCAAGTTGCATGCTACCAAATAACTGGTATGCTATTCAGAATGTGCTTGCCCAGGCCTTATTATATAAATGGATGTTAGATTAATAATTATGTGTGACTCAGCAACAAAATGCTTATTGCCAAACTGGAAATGGTATTTAGGGACTTACTGGCATGTTTTCATTCCTAGAAGAGAACAAAAAAAAATAACTTGACTGCACTTTATTATTAGTATAGTGAATTTATTTAATATGTTTTGTATTGCAAATGTGATTTTTTTTTATTTATTGCTCTTAAATCATTTCCAAAAGTATAATATATTTGGTGTAATTTAATTGGTTTTTGCCAATGTTTTGTTATTGATGATCATAGGTGAGTTTGGAAACCAGAATATTATCTGGGAATTGAAAACCACCAAAATTATGGTATTTTTAATCTCATGTTTTTTTTTACTGAATAAAATTATGCGATTAGTATACCAAGAAATGGTCTATGTGTATTTATTTAAATGTGAGCCTAGCATTGTCTTGTACAAATATCAACTCAGATGGAACAAATGATTATTGCTTTTTAAGTCATATAAACTGAGAAGTTGGTGAAGCGAGAAGCGGGTCAAAGTTCTAATGTGTCAGAATGATACTATACAAACTAGCATGGGTCAACAACAATGGCCGTTTACATTCCATTTTCTTAGTCAAACTGAACAATGACTAATGGGAATATTTATATCTAAAGATAGGATTAAATGAGGCTTTGGTTCTCAGCCCCAAATAATTAAAAACCTTCACCACAGGTCATTTCATATACATATTACATATTTGTAGTTCATAGTGAAATGCAGATGATACAATGTAGTTTACAATCACTATAAAACTACCATTTTGTAATGTTTAGATTGTTATTAAATTGTAAGAAGAGATGAGTGGAATTACACACAATTATCAGAAGCTTTGATTCATCTACCTCTGTCCTTCCCAACAAGTAATACAAGTTACTTCTGGATCCTGAGTATTAATTTATTTTCTGTAAATTCTATTTACATGATTAGTGGTGTGTGTCTGCAAGTGACTGGTAAAATAAGATGTTTTCTGCAGAATTCTAGACATCCAATGTACTGCTTTTGCTTTTCAGGAAATGCTGCAACTGTGCAAAGTTCTAAAGGCCATCCGATTTCCCTAATCATATTTGTTTTGTGGTTTTATTCTGTGGACCATGCATCTCCTGAG